TTAGTCTCTCACTCATCACTGTCTAGTTATTCTCAACGAGCTTTCACACTACAGCAGAAGTGAACACCAAGTGTGTTCCTCCTCGAGTAGTCCCTTTTTGTAAAAACATTGCACTTTGATTGACAACCACCGCCGACAGCGGGTGGCCGGTTCTCAGGTAGAAGAAGTGGCAAATAAAGTCTGAACTTTGGTTCTTGTTGGTATCGATTATTTTCCCGTCTGGCGGAATGTGCTTTGTTGCTATACCTAAGAAAGCAGTCTGTTTCTGGTACTGCTGAAGTGGTAACCCAAAGACAGTCTGCTCCTGTACACGTTGTCTGTGTGTGAGTCGCTATATTACACGCGTCACTACTGGAGTGTAAACTCTGGCTGACTGTCGACAGGCGCTGACAGCAAAGCAAAGCAGATTCTCGTGTCATCTTTGGACGACGATTCTTCTACTATCTTCTAGTATCTACCTAATCTCAGAACCCTCTGAAGTCAGCGAGGATGAACACCCTACTCACCAGATCGAACGCCGTCTTTGCGTTCACCCTCTCCAATCTGGCCGTTCTCACTGCCTTTCTCGTCCTCTCCACCTTGTTGACGGTACCGGTGTAGTTACTCAAACTATAAACTGCCTATTCTTGACACTCCTTTTCCATTCATTCAGGACTACTCGAAGGTGGTGGACGTGAGGATCAACACGGTGCGGAAGGTGGTGAAGAACGTGGCCGACTTCTCCGCCGGTCGAGAGCGCAACGACCTGGGCTTCATCTCCTTCGACCTGGAGGCGGACTTTAGTCGCGTCTTTGACTGGAACACCAAGCAGCTCTTCCTCTTCCTGACCGCCGAGTACCAGACCAAGAACAATGTCCTGAACCAGGTGGTCCTCTGGGATCACATCATGCTGCGTGACCAGAACCCGAAGCTGTCACTGCGCGACCAGCACACCAAGTACTACTTCTGGGACGACGGCAACGGCCTGGTGGGCAATGATAACGTCACCCTAACTCTCAGCATGAACGTCATCCCCAACGCCGGCTTCCTGCCCATTCACTCGGTGCCGCAGTCACTGCATCGATTCACCTTCCCTAACGTCTACGCCGCCAAGAGCTAGGGAATTGTACAGCTGTAAATTATCAGTCTTTTTTTCCTGCAGTTCACCTCATTGCACCAGTGTGATCACCACTACCGCTTTTCTCCTTCTTTTGCTGATGCTCTTCTTCTCAGCCAGCTCTCTCTTGCTCCTATTTGTAATTAATTAAATGCTGTCTGCGCGCTTATCAGCACTACTACTTCTTCCCAACGGTGGTGATTAAGGAGATAGAAAAAGTACAAGTCGTCTGTTCGTAGAGAACAGGCAGTGAGCTGCTGATGCACCGGTACACTGAAACCTGCGCAAACCGCTTTTGGAACTGCACCAGAGTTAGATTTAGGGGGGAAATTGTCGGTGCTTCTAAATTCCTCATAGCGCCTTATTCCGTCACCACCATCATTACCATTACCATTAACATCAGCTGAGTGAGTGTGTCTTGAGAAGAAGAGGAGCATGCTCCTAAGAGACTGTGCCTCGCAGCGTCTGTACTTTCTGCTTCTTCTCCTTCAGTGTGTTGTGTTTTGTGGTCGCTGGTGCTGCAGAAGTGCGACAGAACAGTGGCAGAAGGGACACCATCAAATCATCAGCCAGACAGAGGCAGAAAGAGCAGAGACAGTCATCCGTTATTCGAGGATTCTCTCTCTTTTGAAGAAGGACACGAGGAGCAGGCAAGCGAGGAAGCAAGTGAGTAGTGCACTGTTGTCTGCGGCAGCTCTGATGATCAACTTGTGCAGTCAGTCTGCTTCTTCGAATCGCGCCAATGTCCGCTTCTGAGGTGGTGTCAGGAAAGCAGCCGCAGCAAGAGCAGTGTGTAATCCTCTGGGAGCGCAATGTCCTCGAAGACTGAAGATCGCCTTGAGGTAGTACCACCACCACCACCACCTTTCGGCAGCATTCACCATCACCACCATCAGCAGCAGCAGCAAGCAGACAGCTTCTAGCGCTGTCCCTTTTTCGTACATCCTTCAGCTGATTTTCATCACCACTTCTTCTGTACATCACCGCCTGTGTCGTACACTCTCTCACTCTCTGGTGCACCATCATCTCTCACTGCCATCTCTCTCTTCCTCTCCCCCGCTCACTCTGTCCTTCTTTTTTTCTACTTCTCCGCTGACCAAATGAGAGAAGAGAGTGTAGACAATAACAACACAACACAACGTTCACCCAGCACAATCATCACGACGAGGACTGATTTGTCCACTCGGTGCTGATAGTCGAGTCGCCACACAATCACTCACACACGCCAATGCTTCAACTCTTTCGAGCCTTCACCAACAGTGCATGAGCGAGTCTGCTGTGTCTCCTCAAGCGCGAGAGTATAGGAGCTCTAGTCAACAGCGGTCGACACTGTCACCACCATCATCATCAACACCAGCAGCAGCGGCATTGTCATCTCAGCCAAGAAGTCCAGAGCAATGGTAGGCAAGCTGGAGTTCCACGAGAACGATGATCTTCCAGACAAAGATGTGGCTCGTGACTTTTACGCCAAATACGAGCCTAAGGAGGTGCTCGGCAAGTAAGTGCCTTAGTCTCCAACCCCGTTAATCACCGCCATCAGCTCTAATCACCGATCTTGTTTATCACTTTCTCTCTTCCTCACTTTCTCCACTTCCTGTGTCCCTCTTCAGAGGAGTTTCGAGCATCGTACGGCGGTGCATCGAGAAGGAGACCGGCTACGAGTACGCGGCCAAGATAATCGACGTCAGCTCGGATCCGGACGACTCTCAAGGTTTCACCTTGCTGCAGGCGTCACACCGTGAGGTGGCCATCCTCCACCTCGCTGCCGGCCACCCTTACATCAGTGAGTGAAACCATAGTTTCCTGCCAGTCATGTCACTTTTCTCGTGTAACCATCTTTTTCCTCCCCACTCTTTCTTTGCCTAGTCACACTTCACGATGTCTTTGAGTCGTCTACTTACATTTTTCTAGTATTTGAAATGTGAGTGTACTTTTTTTAGTGCGAAAAAGGATGTCCTTGGTTTTCACTATCACCCCTTTTTCCGCTTCCTCGCAGATGTAAAAATGGAGAGCTTTTTGACTACCTGACAAGTGTGGTCGCCTTATCAGAGAAGAGGACAAGGTGAGTGACCAGACGGCGTTGTTGTTATCATTACTTATTAATTTGCTTCTTCCTCTTTTAGAACCATCATGAAGCAGCTGTTTGAGTCGGTCGATTACATTCACTCAAAGGGAATCGTACATCGAGACTTGAAGCCTGAGAACATCCTCCTCGACGACAACTACAACATTAAAGTGACCGATTTTGGGTATGGCAGCCCTGAAACTTTGTGATCACTGATCAGCAACTGAGCCTAATGATAACCTTTCCTCTGTTGTAGCTTTGCTAGAATGGTACAACCTGGTGAAAAGATGAATGGTAAGGGAACTTTTTACATTATTCCAAGCAAAGTAAATTGACATGCTCCATTTCCTGATCATTAGATCTATGCGGCACACCCGGATACCTCGCACCGGAGCTGCTTCGTGCGTCGATGTACGAGGACGCAGAGGGCTACGGCTTTGAGGTGGACCTGTGGGCGTGCGGCGTCATCATGTACACGCTACTAGTCGGATTTCCTCCCTTCTGGCATCGCAAGCAGATGATCATGCTGCGGAACATTATGGAGGGCAAGTACGAGTTCTGTAGTCCAGAGTGGGACGACATTACCGAGGAGGCGAAAGATCTCGTGAGTGCCATATTTGGCCCTTTTTTACAAAGTATCGTTTAACCCCCTTTTTCACTTCTTTGTCAGATTCGCAAACTGCTTGTGATCGATCCGTCAAAGCGGATCAACGCCAAGGAGGCGCTGAAGCATTGCTTCTTCCGCTCTAAGGTATGGACTTTAGTAACACGTTTTTTCTTTTTAATCACTAAGCTGACCTTGCTCATTGAACATCCATTTTCCAGAAAACTCCAGTGAAAAAGTTCAACGCTCGGAAGACCTTCAAGCTGGCGATTCTCTGCGTCCGCGTGCTGATTCGCATTCGCCAGTACCGCTACACACCGGAGGTGCTCAACATGGACATCATTCGATTCGAGCCGTACAAGATTAAGCTTCTCAGAAAGGTTTGTGGTTTGTGGATATTTACCGATTTTCTTTGGATAATAAAAACCGGTCGTATTTTGCAGGCAATCGACGGTTGTGCCTTCCGCGTCTACCACCACTGGGTGAAGCGAGGCGAGGTGCAGAACCGAGCGGCACTCTTTGAGAATCGACCCAAAGTGGAGATGAAACTGGCCTACCAGGACACTGGTGTCAGTCACTTTCACCACTTTTAGAGCACTGGAGCACTGTTTACCATCAACCTCAGCTTAGCCCCAACTTCAACTGCAGATTCTTTTGTTTCGCCATTCGATACTTGCTTTTTTGTTGTCCTTTTCTTTTTTGGTCGTCGTCTACATTAGTCCGTCCATGTTATCCACTTGTGTTTAGTTATGTTTATTCTGTTCTTTTTGTGTACATATTCCTTCCCCCTTCATTCATTCATTCATTCATTTATATTCTCCTTTCCCTCCCCACTTTCTGCCAGTCTAAATCAACACACTCACACTCTCTCTCTTGTAATATAAGACTGCATAATTCTCGCTCTCTCTCTCCCTCCCATCCCCTCTCTGCTCTTACTCCATTACTGTGATGTACTACATTTTAGGTTTTATGCTATTTAACAAAAATAAAAAATTGCCTTGACTAGCTTCTCTTGCTCTCTGGAATCGGGTGACAGCAGTAGCAGTGGAAGTGCCAGAAAAAGTTTGAGTGCAAAGGCGAGTTAACCCGATTTTGAGTGATCCAGTGCCAGGCAGCAGCGAAGTAGGCCGTGTTGAGTGGTGAGCTCCTATGTAAAGTGAACCACGTTTTACGGCTGCTGCTGTTCTACTTGAACACTACTATTCCACAGTTTCAGATTGGCCAAGTTTTTGGTTGTGACCAGTGAGCAGTGGATTCATTTCCGAGGGAGGAAGAGTCTGCTTGACCACCGGACACAGTCGAATAGAAAGTGAGTCGCACAGACACTGACACTGCTCATCACGTACCTGCCTCAATCGCCTAGCTACCTGCTCATTAGTGCGTGAGAAAGGGCCAGTGAAACGTTGGGTCGTTATTAATTCATGGCATGCTTTTTCTNAAATCAGAACGACCGCAAACATATGAAAAAGAAGAGGATAGCAGACAAAAGTTGAGCTGGCTGACCATTACTGCTCTCAATTAAATTGTAAATTGGGGTGACTCTCGCT